CGACCGACGACTGCTCACCGTCGGAAGTGAAAATCGTGCCGCAGGCCACGAAATCTCTCCGGCGTTTCTAGGCAGGATCCCCTGCTAGAAGGATATCCCATCGCACCTGAATGCAGCTTCGAGGGACGAGTGGGAGACCGCTTGATTGAGAAGCACTTCGTTTCAAGTCCCGTGTCCCGCTGGTGAAACCTGCTTCATGGGATATTTCCGCTATCAGAACATTTCACATCTTGAGCTGCGATCGGCTCACCAATAAGGAAGGAGATGTTTTCGGATACAGAAACGACCGTAAAAGAATCTGTGTCACCGAAGAGAGCCCTAACCCCAAGTCGATGCTAAGCGTTCCCGATGACATTCCCTTGATAGCGACCGGAATCTCACACAGCGCCGTGAAACATTCGATGCAGCATTCAGATTTGGTCGCTGGGCTAGCTCCACGCTCGAAGTTCCAGATCGATGACGCCAGAAAAATCTTTCCAAAATCTCCATTCGCCCGCGACGAACCGATTACCGATTCTACCGAAAGACCGTTATCCGGATTGACAATAGATTCGGTCTGACCCTTGAAAAGTTGAGTAATCGGACACGAAGGGAAGGGACTCAGGACTTGTGCTGAATATCCGGAGACCGGCCTCACGCATCAGTTCGATCACGCTGAATACGCCGCTCTTTCTGGAATAAGGAGCCGGTTCGGGAAAGTCTCCCGATCCTGCGAGCAGGCTGGTGAAGCATCGAAAAGCATACGAAGAGTGGAACCAGTGAAAGCCTTACCAAGAGCTTGGACGACGCAGAAATGTCTCGCGGGTGGATCCCACAGTCTCATGTCCATCGCGAGCTTACTTCAATGTTAACACCCACAGATTTTGAAGGCTAATAAACAATATCATTAAAAAATCGTACGCGTCAGCTCTGAATATTCTGGTCCCCTCCCTTCATCATGAGAGGGGATTTTATCTTCAATTTTTAGTCGAGGATCGGGATTCAGAAATTCTTTCTCTGGAACTTCGAGTCTCATTCCTCCCCTCGAACATTCAGAGCATGCGAATTGTACGGGATGGACTAGATGTGTTATGATGGATATCGAGTGATCGCTTCTCGATCGGACACCGAGATACGATTCCGGAGCTCCGAGCTGAAGCTCTTGCACGTCTGTCTCAATCGGGACTGTTGACGCGCCGATGGTCCAACCATGGAATTTCGGATATAACTCAACGGTGTACAGCGTCGAGCCTCCCACGATGCCTGAACTCTCCGATGTGACCCATAGAATTATTGCACGCCCCACCATAATCTCATGCACTGGTTCCACATGGGAGCGCAGCTGCCCTCCGCGCATAGATCGTCGACCGTAAATGCAAGGTGCTCGCCTGGAGACACATACAGTTCTGGTGGGAAACTGATAGTTTTTGCGGACTCGATTGAGGTAATTTGTGAAGACGGGAAGAAGAATGCCGGTCTCGATCCGTGGCGTCGGTTTCCGTGTGACAGAATTGATCCCCATTAGCTTTCATCATGTTCGTCAGGGACACCGCCGGAATCGGGAGCTACCACACGCTAAAATATACCCTTTTCAGGTAGTAAAGCAATTTTATTTTTGTGAACATGAGTGACGACTTATGGCGAAACACTATTCTTGATAGATTCGCATGTCAAAATCGCTCCCCATTTACCGGTACGACCATCTCTGCGCGACGTGTTTCGAGCTCGAGGGGCGAACGACTCGATACTCTTCACATTGTGGGAAAGTGAAGATCAAGTAGAAGATCCGCCCCTATACCTGAATTTTAGTTCGAAATGGGAAAGTCTCAAATATCCCATGCAACCATTTTCCCGGATGTTTGATGAGGCACCTATCCTCTCCGGTGCGAAATTGACGACAGGGAAGACAACGCGTGCTTCCGTGCTCTCTTCAGAGGGAGCACCTCGGATTGACGACCGATCTGGCGAACGATGAGCCTTCGGACCGCGACCCAATTTTCCCCGCTATCATCCGCTCTCTATTCCCTCCGACTGGGTCGACTTCACTTCAGGACTCGTGAGGAAGAATTTTCTTTCTTCGTGAAGATCAGCCGGGTTCGTCTAAATTCATGATCACGATTGAAGACCTTGTCATATCAGACAGAAGCGCCCCCGCCCCAGTTGGTAAATCCGAGGCTGGACGCGCGGCGACCGAGAATACCAGCGGAATATCAATGACTTGTCTCATTCCGCCGCATGGAAGCGAATGGTCCGAATAGAGGTCAGCAACTCAAATTTGCTGGAAGCTGGAGTCGGACGAACGAAGTCCTCGGACCCTCGGGCCGGAATGTGAAACTTCCGAAAGTTTGAGAAGTCTATAAGCGATATCAAGCGCTGCACAGATTCCGCCGTTTTTCTCCTTTCAAACAATCAGAAAAAAGGTCAACTGACGTTCTTCGATTTCGACTCTGACTAGTTCTCGCCAGAAAAACGCCGGACGTCGCTTGGGAGCCTCATCTCTGCTTGAACCAGAAACTTTTTCTCACTCCGTCTCAATACACAAGACGGCTGCTCAGATAATTCGCAAATCCAGGACGACCAACAGGTGGATCCTGTAGAGAATTCGACAAGATGGGGAGAGAGGGCGCAAGGGAAATCAATGAACTCTTGAGAAGCTATGCAACACGGTCCGATATTTGCATTGGCGATTTTCCCCGCGCATCTCGCCGGTTCCGTTCTTTCCAGTCGAAGAACAATAGGGGAAATGCCAAAAGAGATCAGTCGAAGTCCATGCCATGAATACAAATGAGTTTTCGAAAACTCACGTCTAGGTCGAGTCCATCCCGTTTGGACCGCACACTGGGGACGACCCGGAAGAATAACGCTGACGGCATTTGGGGAGAGTCGTCGTGTCGGTCTTTATGATTTTGGGCGCTCGTTAATACCCAATGTGAGAATTTTCATATTCTGCGTTCGGAATCAACTTTTCTCCGGAACGTCTTTGGAGCCGTGATCGATACGGAGGTCGCTGGTGGAGGAAGTTTCGAGCAATACCAGACGGAAAAATCAGAAAGACGACACGCGCGGCGCACGATAAGACGAATATTCTCCACTGTCAGCACCCTGCCCTTCCGTTAGTTTCCGTGGGCGTGTTAACTCTCATAGGAGTGTCAGTTTTGCGTTTTTCGTCTCAGAAGCGTCATGTTCCCGACGGACATGATGACAAACATGATCCAACGGCTTTTTCCGTCGTGCGTACTTCACCCTTTTGTCACAGCCAAGGTGAGCTAGCTCTTCGAAATCGACGGAGAAGACGACGTGTGTAAGTGACTAAGTGCTTTGAGGACGCAAACAGAAGTGTCAATGAAGGAAGCGTTCGCCCGGTCGCCCGCCCGCTCAATCCGCCGGAAAGTTGAAGGCTGCGGATCATTCGGGCAGGTTTTATAGAGAAACTATTTGACAACGAATGTATTGACCGACCCGGTGCCGATCCGCTCCGTACGGTGACGCGGGAGCCGTACGGTCTCTTTGACTCTTCGTATCTGACCAAGCGACGTCGCAAACCGACGACATTTCCCGTACAGAAGTATCGCTGGAGGCGAGTCTGGAAGACCGCTGCAGATAGCGGTGACTCGACGTTTACAGAATATTGAGCAGGAATATGCTCGTGCCGACATCAGGTCTAAGTAGACCGGAATGAGATCGGAGAATGACCCGACATATACATCCATATACGAATCGGATCTTTCCATTCAAAAATCATAAGATGGGGGATCGCTCGCAGACGCTCACCCTCAGATCAGTGCGCCGACCACGTGTGGAGATGCACGATTCATTTCTGTCGATCATAGGAGTCATAGTGACGGTAAATGTGATATTCGACATTACATTCCTGAAAGTTCGCAACGAATCACGGCCTGTCACCGGATCCTTCACATTCTTCGGTGCTTATTGCGAAAACTTCGGAACCTGGATTGTTTCACTCACTGTAGCAATACAAAACGTCAATATATGCTGGGAACAGAATCTTGCATATCGTGCGAAAGGAACGCGGCGAAGTTCGCGCGCAGAAGCGCAAATTCAGGGGAATGTTTTATAGAGCCAATGAATCCCGGAAATTCTCAGGGGATTTTCATCGCTCTGAACATGGCCATGTCGGCCTTCTTATGAAATCTGGCACCTAGACATGGACGGACAGCCGGAGAGAAGGCCGTGGGGGTTTTGACGACAACAATCGGAATTATTACATCGGATACGAAGGTACAATCTTCATCTAGTCTATAATAGTCTCATGAAGCCGTGTCGGGCAGCCTCGGGAAAGAATTCGGAAGCTCGCAAAGGCGGTCGAGCCTCGCTTCAGAACGGGTCGAATTCTCGCGAGCCCAAGAGAGGCGAACGGGGCAGCAGGTCTGATTGTCAGCCATCTGTGGAGCCTTTCAGCGGTGGATTTGCTCTGATCGCCGGATCTGAAGACTCGGTCTGGATAGGCTATCTGAGCAGTCATCCGTCCAGAGCTTCAATTTCAAGTATTTGCGGCGACTTAGGGAAGACAGGGTCACTCACACGAAGAATAATGCGTCGGAAAAGAAATCATGTATACCACCTTCCAAGGCGAGGCCGGATGGTGGGCTTAGAAAAGAACTCCCGCGAGAATTATCGTTGCAAGTAGTTCTTCACTTCATGACCGGGTAGGGTGCCTTATCGAGACGGTGATTACGAGGATGATTCTCCGGGGTGTCCGCTGAACGGCTCAAGGGAGGCTTCTCCTGGTGGGCGCGCACTTCTAGCGAATATCCCTCGACGAGATTAACTTTTTCTACTGATTGAGCCGTCGAGAGGGGAGGCATCGACCCGGACGGAGTCAGAAGAATTCAGCATCTCCGGTGATAGCTAGGGAGTTCTCTCGAGAAAAACCTTGCCCTGATGTGGGAGAAAATTTCTGGATGCTCACAACAATTGCCACTCACGCCCGCGACTCCCTTTCTTTGCAGGCAATGTATCTCATCCGGATTCTATTATGCCTCGGACTGATATTCGGGATCTCCGCGGCTCCCTTCGACTCCAGCGATCATGGATTGAAAGCCACTGACGGATCGAGCGAGAAGTCCGAGCAAGCTCAGAGCCCCTTCGTCAAACGCGTCCTCAAATTAACGCGAGCTCTGCGAGCCATCATAACACTTGATCCGGAAGTCGAAGAGGTTCCTCCCTTTCTCTCATTTGGCTCGGATCTAATGCTCGGAAACATATGAGGGGGTTTTCCGGCGAAAAACCCTGAGTAGAAATATTCTTGCATGGCTAGATTAAACGGAACGCTTCGCGTCCGAAAGTGTGATTGTAGTTTATTATTGTCGATCCGGTCGGCGCAGAAACTCCTCGTTTAGGATGGGCCCCACGACTGCTGCCGGAATGAGCCAGAAAATGCGGAAAGCGGTGTCGGTTCCAACTTAATGAATCTTCTCGGTCACTAACGCTCACGGAAACGCGACTTTCCTTCTGGGCTTCATCGTCCCTTATCCAAGTCGTTCGGATTTACTTCGCGGTCGACGTGTTATGATCAGGCTTTGCTTTTTCAGCGACAACAATCTAGTATCAGATAGAATCAAATAGCTTCGTCTCAACATGGAAAACTGATTGCATCCGTAAGATTATCGAGTCGTTCTTTTCGCCAGGAAATGCGGAGCGCCGCTGCAGCGCGAGCGGCTTTGAGCGCACAACAAGCACCCATCCAAAGACTCGGCGACCAAAAGCCGCGAGATACATGGTTCGGCCTCCTACCACAAATCTCTGCTTCTGGTTCATCGTGGTTCCCGATTGCGACGAGCTTCCGACAAGGTACAACACAGAGAGAACATCGCGTGTAACAATTCTTCTTTTACGATATCGAGTTCCGGAGATCTTTCGGATCTCTCAAGATCAAGTTGAACGAAATGGTCGAGGTTCATCTGGAAATCACTACCCTCATTCTGAATGAATGGGAAGAATCGGAGCATCGGGCTCCCGGAGGAATGACGGGAAATATTTATTTCTTGAGGGTTGGCGATACCCTCGACCCTCGCTTTCCTCAACAACCCTCCTAATTTTCACCTTGCAGACAAAGATGGCGGATCATCACTGCTCCTGCTGCCCATCAATCCCGTGAAGGAGCAACTTCCGCCTTCATCCTCGAAAGATGCTTTCAGGAGCAATGAAATGCCCAATCCAGATGCTACATCTTGGTTCGGTGAGTCGGGGAATTTCACGTCCCCGTCGGGAACCTTAGCGAATATTCCAGTCGAGTCCCTCACCTATTGATGAAATCATGTGTCGAGACATTTAGCCGGAACAGGAGCAGTGAAATTTTGAATATCGAAGGTGTACCGGAGGAGGCGCTTATCGAGAACCGAAGAAGCGAACCACCTCGTTCCGCGGAGAGATGGACCGCCTTCCACGACGCGGGAGAAAGTGACATGACTTTTGGGGATTTCGGCACGCAACTGAACGTGGCGCCGGCTCCCCGCTCATTCGAAGGCCTTCAAAATCAGGGAATGGACGGTACGTTCGTTTTTTCGTTTGGTGAATATAATAGATGAAAATGTCTCTGAGTCCTGCGAGATTCATATCCTTTCGAGATTCGAGGCGAATATGCTGATCGGGAAGTTTCATTGCAGCTCTGCAGAATTCGGAGATGACGAGATATGGCAAGCCCATCAAGAGCAACTCGTGGTCGAAGAAAACCTTCAAAAAGTCCCCGATGAAGAACAAATGGTCTAGAGATCACTCGAGAGCCCAGCCACAGAACGAGGTTCACAACGAAATCGACCTGGGCGATAACTTCTTCCACAAAAACGTGCTGCCTACTCCAAATAATTTCCAGCCTTTCTGAGCGGCGCTGTAGAATAGCTTCATGTCATCGAGTCGCTATCACCATCAATCATCACTATTCCATGGAACAAAATGGACAGCATCCGGGTGATGCTGTCACCAAACAAAGAACCGCTTAGGAATCTAGCGCGTATCATCAACAGCTGACGATCGATCGGACGAGTCATTGATTCTAATTGTAACGTTGTGATATTTATATGAAACGATTGTATCAAGATCAACTGTATATTCCACGTCCTGATCCGGATCGCGAACGTTGTTAGAATACATACATACACCTCCAGATAGAGAATCTGCCCCCCGTCTTTCCTACTCTTCGAGCTATTCGGGAACGTTCTCCGAATCAGACGTGCGTTAGAACAGCTTTAAGAGGGAACACTCCGAACTCTTCCTGTATATTTCTGTTTATGATTATTTCGCTACCTGGACTTCTTCCACCAGAAGTATTGAGTTATTGAAAGGAACTATTCCACATCAGCGTCATCTCTTCTGCGGTTTCGTTTTCACGTCGACGGATTCCTCGCATAGCTGGAAGTACAAGACCGACGCAGCCAGCCGTGCCTTGACCTGCTGTTTGTCAAGCTCATGCGACCATTCAACGCTTCCCCACTTCTTGATTTGGAAATCCGTCTCCAATCGCGAAAGATCGACGGCTTCGTCCACGGTGACAACTCGGTCGATGGCAGCTTGGGCTAAGATTAGCGATTTCAGACCTTCAACAGCGAACTGCATTCCGAACAAGGCCGCTCTCGAGTGAGAGAAGAGATCCTTGTAGACAGCTAGAACGGAGGTTGCAGGAATTTCGGGTGAGACAATGTCCATCGAAGGCTCGAACTTCACTTGATGTCTCTCACTGAACCATTCCAGAATCGGATCCCATTTCTCGCACTGTAATTCGTATAATTCGGCGTTCTCAGACTTTGGCATTCTGAAGAGAAGAGAATCATGTTCCAGGAACTCCACGATTTCCTCGCAAAGTTGCTCGGCCGTCTTGTTGTGGGGATTGTCGATCGAAGTGTTTGCCAGCGAAGTCAGGTGCATTGCGTGTCGCTCGATCGTGTTCTGGGGATAAGGCGAGGCTTTAGGTCGGTCCTAGGTTCTAACTTGGACCTGGATTCAGGATAGCTCCGGATTTCCGGCACTGCCCAATGAAGCTTAGTCCCATGCCGGATGCGAGATCATCATCGAAGTCGATGTCTCTAGGAGAGAGATGCCGAAAATCAAAAGGAGTAGTTCTGGATCCGATACTAACTTTTTGGATAGCCCATTCGGTTGCGATCGCTGCTGCAATAGCTTCGTTGGGGACGGTGAGCAGCTTCCCAGCTGGAGTTTTCAGCTTGCGATCATCGAGATTAACCTACCGTCGAGGAGCAAACTCAGTCTATCTTAATCGAAGAGTCGTGAGCTTTGCAACCGTATACGGTTCTTAGTTTGACGGTTCCGCAACGATCGAGAGCGTATCATATTCGGGGGAACACTCACCTCCCATCCATCGATAGATTTGACGATGGAGACATTCTTGTAGAACTTCTTCGGCTTCGGCAAACTGGACATTCCCCGAACTCGCAAGGCCGAAGCCACCGAGCAAACTAATCGCCGCTGCATCTTTAGGGGTCGGTCTGCGAATTCACTATTAAAGACATCCCATCAGCCGGTTGGTATTTCATGCGGTTCTCCAGTCACATTCGAAACGCTCGTGCGCGGATGGGGCGCCGCCATCTTGTTCACAGAGCAGAATCAAGCGGCGGTAAGATTTCAAATGTTCCTGAACCATGCGCCATCTATGGAAATCTCTGATCTGGTCATCGATAAGTTCCACGGAATGCCTTAGCTCACTGTATTCTAGAGCACATCCATCTCCGCTTCCCGCATTGCGTGTGACACTGACGCTAGCTTGATCACCATAGATTCCGATGAGTGATATCTAAGTGACTTCTGCGATCCTGCATGACTTTCGCTCAGCTTTCTCCCCCCTATTCGAGGAGTCCTCAGTGTCCAGTCTTTGGACCTGGGATTAGGTGGATAGGCAGGCTCGACCGGAGAGCTTCAACGCTTCGGTGTCATGGATCCCACAGAGAAATATGCAAGCAAAAAACGTCCTTCCTCCTCGAGATGAGAATTTCTCAGAACAGTTCATGCCGCCGGAGCCGGTGACGAATCGCTCTGACGGTGGAGGATTCGGATTCGCGGCTCCATATCGGGAGTCCCATCGCTCAGGGAAGGAGTGCTGACCACCAGAAATCACGCTCGAATGCAACGTCGCTCGGTGCTCGCTCTCTCATGTGGGCCACGGGAGATTCTCTGTCGTCAGGTGACGCTCGAGAGAGATACGGCCTCCGGGCAGAGTCGCGGGAGAGGTCCGCTTCGTCGCCGAGCAAGAACACCCAACAGAGTGTATGTGATGGCTCACAAAACCTGGATTGTTCTCGTTTCGTTCGCAGCTTTCCTCGATTCGTTCCCGTGCTCGGCGACCGACCCGCGGATCGTCAAAGTCGACATCGAGCTGAACGATGTCCTCTCCATCGACGACAGAGCTGGGAAGTTCTCAATTAAGTTCGAGATGCTCTCTGAATGGTCCAGGTCAGCAGCGAATGATTCTTCCGATGCTCCGAATTACTTCGAGCCCGAAATCTTTCTCGACACCGAAGAAAACCTCAACTCTATCAGAAGCTTCACCCAGACCACTAATGATGGACGTGTGCAACAGCTGCGAGTCTTGACTTCAACGTTTCTATGCGAAATGGATTTTTCGTGGCTCCCCATCGACGAACAGAAGTGCACCATAACGATCCGGAGTAGAGTTCACGACAAGAATGAGCTCATTCTTAACTGGATCGATGTCATAGAGAAGCCGAAGAGGAGCGCGGACAAGAACTTCACCATTAAAAAAGTCGATCAATCCGCGGACGAGGAGTGCTTGCAGAGAGCGGACTCGACCGATTACAGCTGTTTGCGTCTCACGTTCGTTTTCCTTCGGAATTATAGACCTTACTTGATCTCGTACATGTTACCGACTGCCGTGTGTTCCGCGGTGGCTTGGCTCACATTATTCGTCCGCTCTTCTAGCCTTCGCAGTTTGATGACAGCACTCACGATACTCGCGACCGGAGGTTTTACCTACACTACTTATCTAGAGTTGCCTTGCTCACATTGCGCGAAGTTCCTCGATGTCTGGACTGTTCTGGTCTGTGGTTTGGTTATTGTATGCTTCCTTGAGTTCATTGTGGTGCAAAGCGCTTTCAAGCGAATAGTCTCAGGTCGGAAGAGATACACAATCAATGATTTGAAACCGAACTGTGTCGATGGTCTCTTCCAGATTCTAGTGGGTGCATTCATGAGTTTTTCGATCGCATTTTATTTCACTTACATGTACGTTGTTATCAATGGTCGGGTGAACGTCTTTTGAGAAGGGCCGCTCGGTGTCTGGTGAATCGATTCCAAAATGCGGAGACGTCAAGTCACGGGTGACGAATGATCCCGCTCCCCGGAGTCTCGAAAAAGTCTCTCGTCTCAATCTGTGCGTCGATTCCGGATCTCCACCCTCAGATTGATCGCTTCTCCGACGAAGCGCTGAATTTCCAAGATCCTGGCTCATCTTCTGTACATACCATGGGGAAATGATACTCATAAAAAACTTCATTCAACGAAAATGAGCCGGGTTACCGGTTCTACGTGTGAACCTGAGATTCCAGCTCCGATAGGGGAATACTGGGTATCCACAACTTATGGGGTCTCCAACGTGTTCTCCCTGGGATAGGACCCTCGGAAATTCCATCACCAACGCGCACGAGTACGAAAAAATTATGTTTCGCCTGCTGTCCGGCAAATAAAAATGGACCTTGGTCTCGATGAACTCAGAGCGCGCGTCCGTCAATCAACCGTCCCGGAAAACGATACTCGGTTTCCGACATTCTTTGTCCATGGGAGAGGACCCACGCACAGAGGGGAAATCTGGCGAGTCAAGGGAGTTTTCCAAGGAAGTTAGGAGCTGTATCACCCAGCATTGAACGATGGGGCGCTCGTGATCGTCGATAAAAATCGTAGGCGAGCAGCTCGATCTGAGCTGTCGCGAGATCGCTCCCAGAAATCCGAACGATCTACCGGTGCGACGCGACGGTTTAGCGCCGTTCCTTCTCGAAGAAACCCGCTTTTCTCGCTATGATGAGTAAATTTCGTTTATTTACAGAATATCCTCAATTTATACAGACCATCCTCCGGCACAGCTCGATTGGATGGGTGGAGCATGGGGATAGGAATAATGGCGAACTCCTCAAGAGATACAGTTGAACTTCGGTATTATCAACTAATGACTGCCGAGAAGGGTCGAGATGATCGAGGACCCATGGAAACACATAGAAACCCTCAAAAAGCCCACCGTTCCAAGCATCGAAAAGCTGATAAAATCGAGGTGAATTCACGGGAAGTCGTTGCAATCGAGCTTGATACAATCGAGGTTCTACTGTATCACACTTTCGAACATACACGCTCAGTAAATCTTCTCCGCGTTTGGATCAGGACTAAACTCGATCAGGCTGCATTTGATTGTTCGCGATCCCTCCGCTGTGCTGCGGCTAGTTCACGTCGTCTTTCGAGAGTTCTGTCGTTGAGCTTCCCACAACAAGCGCAGAACGTGAAGTCGCGAGGAACTGTAGGTTGCCGTTCTGTTCGAGCACTCGCCGACGTTTGCGTCGTGGGCACCTCCACACGGCGGTCACTTAGTCGGATTCCGCATCTGTGACAGAAATTTATGGGAAGAGTACAGGTTGATGGGACTGGGGGATGTCGGCACGGGTATCTTCTGTTCCGGATCGGAGCTGGACGACGATCCTCCACTGCTTGGGCTGGAAGGTGTTGTCCGCTGGCTCTCTCACTGCGCTGAAACACGCGGCGGGTTCTCCGTCGTCGTATCGGGGGCCTGGGTGGAGGCCGCATGTCGGAGAGGCGACCTGTGTGAGGATTGACTCAATCCTCCGGATGGGCAAGCCACTCGATACTCTCCTCGGAAACTCCGAAAACTGGCGAAACAGAACTCGCAGTGGTAGCAAAGCGACTTTCCGCGAGTTTCCTAAGTCTCGGACGCGACTCTGAAGGCACCGTCGCGCTCGTACGCACGAAGACACGGGGTAATCCGCGGCTGCAACCGACTTCTTCTGACGGACACTCCGCGCCAGGTTTGCCAATGTTCTCCGGAACGCGCTAAGCTCGGATAGGATAATGCCCCGATGGAACCTTCGTCAAGAGAGTAGTCTGAGTCGGGGAGAATTGGGTTGGAAAAAGTTGAAGATGAAGTTCGCCGACGGATAATTCGGCGAATGATGCCGATGATCTTCGATCAGCGGGAGATTCGAATCGCACATCCCACCACTTCCCTTCCCTCCGCGAACTCTGCGTGGTAGGCGATTCGGAGCCTCGAGAAATCTGCTCATTTGAGTTCATTTCCAAATGTAAATAATTTTTCCAATTTTAGGCTCTTCTGAGCATGACTTGTCCGCCACTCTCGGTGTGATCTGCTTAGGATCTCTTTCCTTTGTTCATTGCTCTCGACTATTACGCAACTCTGAAATCATCTGCTACTATCAGTTCCAGCTTTTATTTTTCCATATTGGTCGATTCACAGGTGGTGCCTGAATGTTGGAGCTCAGATTGTCCCAGAACAGGTCTATCTTGGTATGCGACTCGTATCCCATATATTCAACCCTTAGTCAGGCGCATACTCGAGGGAAGGGGGGGGGGGGCGGTCCGACTCGGATGGCGTTTCTGCGGGAAGCTGAACGGAAGAGGATCCAATGGTGTCAAGCTGAGCCAGACGACCGTATTTCTCCGGATGGAAGAGCTCGCTCTCGTCAGGGGAACGACCTTATCGGAGGGCGATCGACAGAAAGGAAACCGCGTGCTGGAATTGAGGGACATGCTGAATTTGACGGGCTTTCCGGAATCCGATGTGGAGGATCGTCCAACCGTGGAATTTCCATCCGACGACTTCGAAGTCGCCTAAGAGGCTGCATATTGCTGTAAGATCGAGCTACCGACTCCTTCTCGGAGGAAATTCTTCGAATCAGCTATAGGTACAAAGAACGTAGGCTGGTCTCCTCCTATATGATCGATAGAAGATCGAACAGCTTCTCATGGGATGATTTGAGAATCGGGCATACATTCCAATTGGATGGGGTACGGCAACCTGAATCCCTTTCGAAGCACCACTGAAATCCCCGGAAGCGCGTGGAATAATCTCCAGATGCAGCATCGAAAAGCATGCGATGCTTCGCTAGAGTAGATTCCATCGACTGCGTTTCCGACGTCGGCGTCGCTTCTATCCGACAGCAGCTGGAATAGCTGGCATCTGTCATGACGAATGCGTCAGAAAAGGCAGAACATTGAACTGCCTCGGAGCACAACGAATTTTTCTGCCGCAAGAGGAAGGGTCGAGTCATGTGTTGATCACTTTTTGCCGTGTCACACCTCTGTCCAAGTTCTAGGGGGCTCACAACGGTCACGGGAGCCGCGCCTCTCTGCTCACTGCTTCTCAACGGTGCACATGATACCTTAGAAGATAATGGGTGCCCAGAATTTCCTCGGAGACCGCGGCGTGGAACCGGTCTACACGAGCGGAGAATCGCCCCGGAAGTTCGAGGTCTCTTGCCTTCCCCTAGGAGCCTTCCCGATGGAAAAGAATCAAGACTCTCTCGATCCTCTCGAAGTCTTCCTTTACGAGATACAATCACTGTCGATCGTCGTTGCGAACTCCATCACACCTGGAAATATCCTTGGCCTGACATTCCGTTTTCCCCGAATATGAGTGCGAGCCTACATTCTCCGTAATAAGGGTATCCTGGAAGCCATGTCTTCGATCGACATTCCCTGCGCGGAGCGCGAATCTTCCGCCCGATACCTGAACGAGGGGCGGTTCAGCCTCGGGGAGAACGAATAACTCCGCTGACGCAGATGTGGCTTCACGTAACCGCATCTATGATTCCAGAGGTTCAAGGGCTCGTGTGAATCTTATGAGTCGAGTTACCAATTAAGTATATGTAAGCCGAAGGGGGCCGAGAGAAAATAATTGACCGAACTCGGGAGTATGATGACTGCTGCTGTACTTATCGCCCTTTGCGAGAATTGGCAGTTTCCGTTGGGACAACTCCGGACCGGGGCGTTATTTTCAGGCGAATCGGCCCCGACAAGAGAAAAGTTCGATCGGAGGATCTCGGATGCCTAATCTCTGTGATAAGCGTCCTCGATCTCTCAATATTGAAGACTCGCGTATTTTGGAAGGTCGTCTCTCTGTGACAGGCAACGCATCTCGACCCCTGAAAGCTTCATCCAGAGAAGTCTCCATGATCCCCGTCTCAACGATTTGATCCGCGGGGCATGTTGCTCTTCGACGACACACGGATGTCTCTCGATCCGGATGAACAGAAGTCATCCAAAGAGAAATGCGCCGATGAAAATCGACTGACGACGGGATCGCAGCTCATTCGAAAGGGGTGCTACCGCAAGTTGAGACTGGATTCCTCCCACGAATTATTGCGAACTATCGGGTCCCTGACACGGAGCCTATGAGCGGAATGACAGAGTTTCGAGAGAATCTCTGCGAGCGATGTCGTTCAGCATCGAATAATACAGACAGATATTCTCTGAGCGAGTGACGCGGTCAACGGGGAGAAGCTCGAAGGTTGACCAGAGGAGTCGAGGAGCCAATGCACGAATTAGTAAGCACTCAGGAAGCATATCTCCACGAGCCTTGCGAAAAACATCATTTTTGTCTATACAATGTGAGCGAAGAAGCAAGAGCGGGACGGCGATCCAGGCAATGCAGAGATCCGAACAAGCGAGCTTGCGCAACTGGATCACAGCGTCCCCACATCCAGATGATCGGGGCCCCGCAGCTCGTTATAACAATCGACTGATTATGAGCTATAGTACTCGCGACCTGACTCTAACCGGACCCGCTCTCCCATATACGGGTGCTCAGAGGATACCGAAACGATCATCACTGCGTTCCTACGTCCTCAGCAACTCTAGGCAAACAATCCTGTTATCGCGAAGCTTCATCGATTTGTGCTCGGCCTTAGCCGATCACGGCTCGAGGATTCCTCAAGATCGTTTCCCGTGGGAATACAGAGGTCTTTGCGGCAAGATTGTTTCAGACGGGTGACGATGCGTCACTCGGATCATGTTCCCGCTCACAGCTTTTCGTCAATGGATTTGTATTGACCTACGCAAAACATCCCTACTGTTCCGTTGTGTCGGGGACCCGGCGGCCGCTAATGACCCATCTCATGGATGATTTCTACCGCCGGAAGCATAATCCAGTTGCTCGAATAGGGCAGCACCATGGATTCGTAGGTCGAGTCGCAGAATTATTCGCGGAGCGAGAAACTCTCGGGACTTGCAAGGGCGAAGGAACGATCAAGTACTCTTGGCACCAAGACCGGTGGAGTCATTTCAAAATAGAATGAGCCTGTCCCTCCGCAGCACAAAAAAATACCGATTGGAGTGCTCGTCTCGACGGAATTCCCCAACACCTGGCGCAATTCCGGGACTGCGAACACTGGCGGCGAATATTTCAGACCCGACACATGTTCTCGGCGCTTTCCCCGAGTTGTTTCTCTTCGCGCTTTTCGCGAGTTTTTTCTCTTCGCGCTTTCATGTGGAATGGCTGAGGCTCGAGTTTTCGAGAGAAGGGTCCGATCGGATCAGCAGGAATTTCTGCTCCGGGAATATCTCCCCCTTCGTCGCTCGTCGTTGACTTTCAATCCGGATGTGGGAGGATTCGGGGAAGATGAGGTCGACGCACAGATTAGAAGCTTCGCCGCGTCGCGGCCTGGTCGAAAACTCTCCGCAGAGGGATCGTCTCGAAGCAGAGACCTGAGAGACTGAATCCACGATACCGTACGCTCGCGCATGGCGAGCGGAAAAGGGATCAGACTCGTCCGAGTCTGGAGGTGCCCTAGGACTCGGAGAGTTCCCTGTTCCGGAGTGAAATGTGCATGTCATCGCAGGGATCGATTCGCAGAATAGATCGAATAGGACCGTCCTCAAGACCAAGCGGTGGTGCGGACAACAGGCAGACGTGGCGAGAAGGTAGGTCGCTATCTAGCAGGCAGGACGGAGCGGAATTATGCCAGAATCTGTGCGTGTGTATGGCTCGATGAGGATCCCACAGCAGTACGCTTTAGCTCGTATAGCAGTTCCGTCGAATTTCCTATGCTCTTCTTAAACTGTGTGCTCAATCTCGGCGGTATTCTCTCCTTCGTCGTCGCAGCGCCGAGCGTCACCAAACTAGCCGACGGAGAGTAAGTTGAAGCCGTCGGCTGGATCTAGATAGTGTATAACCGAGCTCTATACTGAACGTCATTCAGCTTGCCAGATATGGCTCGAGACAACTCGACTTGTCCCTTGCTCTCTTACCAGTCTGCGGGACTGTTGAACGCTGTGGCATTATCCCGGCCGAACGATGCGCATGAAAAGTTGAGAAATTTAGCCCCTCGGAGTCGCATGGCCATTTAGTGGGGTATGCTCCTGACGTATGCAAGTTGTATGACTTGGAAAGAGGCTTTTGTCTTCATTTGGGTTTCAACTGATGATCAAACCCTTGTATCAGATCGGAAAACCTCGACCATGACTATCGATTCGAATTTCCGGTCTACTGTTTCAGTGTCGCAGAGCTCGTTGTATTCCGCGCCTACTCGGACTTCCGGTATCCTGGCGGGAAGTTCTGGCTCGAGATCCAATATCAAGATGATCAGATATCCATCGAGTTCTGTCGAGTCTTCCAGGACATGCTGTTCATCCAGGAACAAATATCAAACAGTAAGGATGACTTCATGCTCAGGCAGAGCGAGGGTTCCAAGGGTCATCCGGGTGGGGATTCTCCGAGCCCCAAGCTCGCCAACAGATCGCAGACTATCTCTCGAGTCTTGAGCTCCCTTCCGTGGACATGGAGCATCAGCCCCTCGATAATTTCTACGCTCTATGGTCGAAGAAAAAGTCGCATCATGAAGATCTGCCGGAATACTTATCATCCGGTACGGTCAATGATCGGCGTTCCTCGAATCAAGGTCTTAGGGTCCGATTCCCCTCTGAACTTCACGCATCAGTTGGTCTGACGAACCCCGACTACTCCACAGATGTCGACTTTGTCGATATAACTCCTCAAGAGATGTACAACTACCTCGAAGACTGCAACCGAACGTCGAGTCATCTCGATCACCATGATAGTTTCCTGAGAAGATTTTACGCCATGTTCACCGGTGATATTTTGTATTTCGCGGTCGTGCCGGGTTAGTATATCGCATGGGTGTTGCCCAGGTCATCGAATATTCCGCATTCAGGCTACCGCACCAACCAGCAGGCCCTTATGCCATCGAAAATCTACTCTCTTCATCCCAGGAACAAAGTGGTGCGGAGCGGGAACATCAGCTCGTCACTACGAGGATCTCGGGGAAAACTGGCCTGTTGATATGTGCTGTAGGACCCATGATCACTCCTTGCCTGGCGAATACATCCTGGCCAATTCAACGAGCTCAGAGTTTAACATCACCAATACCGAGGTGTATACCATGTAAGCGATAGCGACGTCTCAAGAACTCGTGCCTTATACCTATACACCTCCAAGTGTCTCCTCGGGTATGAGGCTGCATCGACTTCGCTCATGAGCCTCCCGGACAACGGTCGGCGATCCGTACCAAGAATTTCATCAGTAAGAGCTGGTCCGATACGAGGACCATCCGAGCGCGATCGAGGTGATTCGCAGCTACGATCGTTTTCCTTCCAGGACTCGTTGCGACAAGGATCTCGAACTCAGGAAATGTCTTGAGAAAGAGACGTCGCTCGCAGCAAGGATCACCGAGAGCATCTACTTCAACATTTTGGGCGCGAAATGCTTCCAACGTACAAAGCCGGCTCGCTGTGCCCAGTTCCGGAGGTGAGTCTCCAAGCCGCTCGGAGAGTTTCAAAAAGATATCTACCTCGATTGGAACCATAATAATTGTGATATCCGGGAATCTATCCAGTTCTTTTGGACGACAACGGTGCACCAAGTATGAGCTCGATGACGACGGACCACTCAGCTGGCAAATCTTCGACCCCGACTGGCTCCTGCAATAAAGTTGCCTCGCAATTATAGCCTGTGATCATATCGGAGGTGCCTTCCGAAATGAGGAGAGGGTTTTTTCTTCGAAACGATAACCGTCAGACTATTTTTTTTTCATTTTTTCTTTAGTCTAATGATTGGATTCTGAGGTCAGGAGAAGCGACACGTTCCGATGTTGGAAAGGTGCACTCACCCACGACGATAGTATTCGACCTATTTGTAGATTATATAGACACGTTAGGGGACCTATTTCGAGACTCCCCTCCATCTTCCGCCGTTCGGTGCGGTCTTATCGGTTCAAGGCGCTCTGCTTGACGATTTGATATTGGATCAAGACGTTTTCCCGGCAAATGAGGTACATATCCTAACTGAGTCCGACTTCCGCCCCATGAAAAATCGAGTGTAGAATACCCATTTCAGAATCTGGCAGGCACCTTCATTGGCACTAGGCACCGTGAACCGCGAATGGAAGGAGGGGAAAAGGAAACAGCTCGAAAAAGTCAGAGTATGATCTTCCTCGAGAACATCAGATAAGTGCTCTCCTCATCAGTTCAAGGCGGGTTTTCACCTCAGAATGGCCAGACGATTCCCCGTGGGGGTCACTGAATATCCGCATTGCTGCCCGATCGATCGGTTTCTGAGAGGGTGTCTAAATGAAAATTCCGCCATCGTGTAGGTCGTCGAATAGAGCTGTCGAATCCTCCCCAGACCTGCATCTTTCATCCGAAGGACTCGGTTCGAAATAATTCACTGCCGTTCGCTTCTCCTGGAATCGTCTCTCCGGTCCTGTTGTTGCTCGAGACTCCGCCCCGACTGAATTCTTCGTCCGTCATGTTTTCATCCAATCTCTTTTCGAAACGACATTTGCCCTTAGATTCCAAGGCATTAGCGATCCGTCGCGGGCGCTTCCGGCGTGGATTCAGTGCATCGAGAAAATGCTGTGAGAACCCACGTCCCCAATTATCGAATTCGCTCTGAGCCATTCGCGGTGGAGAGCTTCATTTGTGAAGCTCGCCGGTCAGAAGTGAAGACGCTGAGAGTACTGTTGCCCAGCACAGACGGGCAGCTGTATTCTTTATTTCGTCTCCGACGAACTCGATCTCTCGTACAAAAGGTCGCGACCGCCGCTCCGGCGCAAGATGATCTAATTCGAAAAAAACTGAAGAACCCTTACTACAGTCGCTTTTACAAATAACCTCACTTCCATTATTTTCTCTCCTGTTCTCCCGTGTGGGTAGCACGTCCGCTCACATTTATTTGTTTGTGGGAAGTTCTATAGAGATGAATGGACCTCGAGATCGTCGTTCCGGCGGCTTTCGTTCGTAAGGGTTTCGCGATTACTTGTTTCTTGATGTGGTGGTGCTTCCGCTGAGGCCGCTGATCCACTCCCTTCCTCATTGTTGTTTGCTCTCCGCTCCTGGGTGTTGGTGATCCCTGTTTTTTTTGTTGTTTCTTCATTTTTATAATATAGTAATATAATTATATATACAACAAATGATTTGCAAGGCCAGGCCTGTGTGTCAGAGCCGGCACGGACACCCGGAACCAACGGCTCTGTGGCGGCTCTGCAACAGATCAGAACTAGAGGCCGGAGACACCCGGGAAGGCATCCTGCTTCTCGGTAGATTTCTCAAATTTCTTCTCCTCTTCCGGTTTAACTTAAAACGAAGATTCGGTTACTTGTTCAAGCCCAGCTCAAAAGTAGAACGTATGCGCTTCAAAAATAACCTCCCTAAAAAAGACCCCCACCCCGGTCCCATCGTATTCCCACACCCCATCAAGTACTTCGTCTTCAACAAGACTTCTGATGCTTTCATTCGTTCAGCTCCTTCAATTAATTATGTACAAGCACATCGAGCCCATTTGACAAGAAAGCGCGAGACCATTCAATGCTGCAGCTGTTTTTTTTCTCCTTCTTTGTCAGCTTCAACTCCTCCCGATGGATTTGGTGCTCTTCCGAAGTTGCTCCGAGTTCTCCCAGGAAAAGGGAAAAATTGACGAAATTTGAAGAATTTCCCTGAGCCTTTTCCGCGACCTTGGTTGATGCCCGCCGACGGATGAAGGCTATTGGACTACAAGGACTTACTACCACCTAGTCGGTCCTTTTCAAACGACTCTTAAAGAAATTCTAATCGAAGACCAATCGGTTGTTGTCGCCGTCAAGATCAAATCGTCGTCGTTCTCTCGATGTTGCTGAAATTGTCGATCGGCAGTCCTTAATGCTGTTGAGCTTGTGGATGCGGTTGCGGCGCGGGTCCACTCTGATTCCCAGAGCTGTTCTGACGCGGGGGTCCCGATCGTTGCGGCCTGCCATTGAACTCGCGACGACCTCCGCCACCTCCTCCATTGGGCATCGGCCTTCGTTCACCTCCTCGCTGTCCGTTGTTCAGACCTCGGGGTCCCTTCGGCCCTCCCGGAAGACGCGATTTCTTTTCCTCGAGGTTGAGTTTCACAGTTTTGCCGTCGATCTCCCAAGTTGCTCCGCTGCGACCATCCTCGAGAGCTTTCTGAACTGTTTCAACGCTGTCGAAGCACACGAATCCGAAGTTCGTCGTCTCTTTCCGTGATCCGGCAGTGCCGCCTATGTTCTTCGAGGCTGAGAGACGGAATTCCTGAACCTTACCGTATTTGGAAAACACCTCGATCAAGGTCTTCTCCTCGACGTCCTGGGGAATGTTACCGACGAACAACTGTAGATTGTCGGGCACGTATTGTTTGCTGTTGGGGGATGTCTCGTCGTCTTTGGGATGGGGACCGTGCGAATCTTTCTTCGGCGGAGTCGGCCCACCGTTCGACCGATGGCCGTTGTTGTTGCCGCGGTGTGCCGGTCGCTGTGATAAGCCTTGGGAGGGTGCAGAGCCGCCGAAAGTATTCGCCGAGTTCGCGGGAGGTCCGAAAGAGGGTTGGGTGGCTGCGGGCGGCGTTACAGGATCGCTAGTCTGAAGATTGGCTATCATTAGTCGTCGGGTTGGAATGAATGGACGGGAGGATCGGGGACGATGGGTCAATCAATCAATCGATCAATCAGAGACATAGACTGAATGAAAAAAATTAATGATAGGGGCGGGCGCGTCCGATTCGAGTTCAGCACATGCGACCTATCTACGCCTACTCTACGCACCTTCGTCTTCTGTACCATCTGGCTCCAACTGCGTGGGGCAGCGTTCGTAGTTTCCTGAGCAACGGCCGAAATCGTAGAAGCACCAGTGGTCTGAGTCGAAACCGGAGAATTTGTCGGCGTGACCTGGGTCGTTTGAGCGGCAGGGGTTTGCGCAGCCATAGAGTTGTCCCACTGGTTGTCGTCCTTCGTAGCTGATGCCGGACTGTTTTCCGGGCCGTGTTCACCGTTCAGAGTCACGTGGTCCGAAACAGCTCCCCCATTGAAAATGGGTTGTGCAGCGTGAGCCTGATCTTCCAGAGCTTGTGCATCGTCGAGCTCCTCCTCGTCGCCGAATACCTGGTCTTGGTAGCGGAAAATGTCGTTTCGCACGTAATACTTGCGAGCAGACAGCTGCACCAGGATGAAGGTCTGCATGAAGCGTCGCATCGGCCCACCCTGATTGGTGAGCTGACCGGCCACTTGGACAACGACCATTTTATTCTCGGACTCTTGAGCGTCGACGTAGTGAATTTTAGCGTAACAGTCGCGGAAGTTCAAAGCCATGATGGCTTCGTGGATGTCCTGCTGGCCTCGAACCGACTTCGATGGGGTGTCTATGCTACCATGGATGAACTCGCTCTCATCGTTGTAGAACCTAGGGATCAGTTGGCGTGAATCATTACAGAGCATCGAGAGTGGAAGAGGAACCATGAGGGGAGATTGGAAAATGTATCGACAAGGCGTGGAGGGATCTCTCGTCCTAGTCCACTCCGCTGCTTACCTGTGCAAGTGTACAGGCGAGCTGTGCAGTATCGTGTAATACTGACGCACGAACTCACGGGCCACTCTGCTCGCGTCCGGTGCCTCGCTTGGGTTGGCAGGAGGATCTTGCGCACTTATTCCGTTTCCACCTACCATCACCATCTTGATTGAGGAAGTTGAGGACTTGTAGAACTTGACAAAATCGACAACACTGAGTCTGAAGAGCTCAGATCAGAAAAACGCTGCAAGGAGAGCGAAAGCAAATTTTTCAGGGGAACTCATACTGGATTATTGTGGAGCGCCTACCCCGCGGTGCAGATAGCTCATACCTCGTGACATTCACGGTCTTTAGCTCAGAGAAAATAATGATTCCTCAACTCGAATCTCAGACCGGGGAGCAAGGACCTGGACGTAACTAAGAGCGATGGTACGATTCATCCTCTATTCATACTGGTCCCGTGAAGGAGCCGACTCTGCACATCGGGACCCGAGAAAGATAACGGGAGAGAAACAGGGCAACTCCGTCGGCTCCCGAACCGAGCCCCGACACAACGACAAAAGAATGGCCGCTCCTTGCCCGTCTGCAACATTATTTCTGACGAGGAAAATAGAGTCCGCCGCAAGGCTCAGTGGTAGATTCATGGAACAAGCTCGCGAGTATCCTCGAGTCGTAGAAATTGAAACCCATCGAGATTTGAACATCCTTCCGCTACCGAACTAGGAACATTGATTTGGCGCATGCTCCGGACGATACTGCGTGATTCCATATCGAACGCTGACTGGCGACGGGCGTATCGAATACGCGACAGCTACTACTTTTGAAGCAACATCCCAGCTCCACCACAAATGGAGTACTGATAGGAATCTGCCGCAATGGTAAGCGAGAGGCTTTCTAAGGTCAGACTCCAGAGAGCTACCGAGCCGCAAAGCAACGAGGTTCGAACGAAGGAGGAGAACTTCAGAACATTCGGAACGCGATCTACTACTCCAATGCCGGCTCGGCATCCACTCATGAGGGAATTAGCTCCTCAGCATGGGGCAGTTTTGCTTTCTATCCCGATCCATGACGGTGAAAATCATCAGACACTCTAACCGCAAAAAGCGTGGCAATGAGTCAGGGAATTGCGTTTCAACCGTTCCGGGGCGAGCGCGTTGTTTGGGCCTGCGGCGGCTGCGAGCATGGACCGGTGGGGCGCGTGTTGCTGTCCAAAAAGTCAGCTAGTCTAGTCCGGATGCGGATTTCAAGGGCTTTTCGAGGCAGAATGAGAGCCCGGAGCACACCGACCAGGTTGCAGGCTCGGGCACGCGCAAGAAGAGCGTGAAAATAACGTTGAAGCCGAGATGCGTGGGCTCAAACTCGGCACGGCCACCATTTACGACGAGGAGTCAGCCCGGGTACGGGGGGCAATTTTGGATATTTTGCGGCATAGAACTCGACGCCTCCTCTGAGTTCGATCGTGTGGCAGCCCGATGACTGCCTAATATTGGAACATTCACTCAAATCTGACCACTCATTACTGTCACGTTAGGCCTATGATTTTTTCAAGCTCCAGTCCACTGTTCCGCCCCGTTGCTCGCGTCAAAGCTCGCAAATCACTCCTCAAATGGCTTCCTATCGACTCCAGCAACGGCCTCCGAGAAGAATTCGTAATTAGCTAGAAAATCACGAATAATACAGTACTCACGCGTAGCCGGCGGTAGTATAGATGGTCTGTTGCGAGACGAGGGAAGAACCAACACTCCAGGCGTTTCTTCAGGCGCCCTCTGCCGGTTGGGTTTGAATATCGACCGCGAAAAGTGCTCGGCCTGCTCACGGAATATCGAGACACCTCGCGTTTATTCGGAGCTGGAGGTCCGGAAAGATCGTCCGTTCAGATGCAACGTTCACCTTAGAAGGAGTCGAAGTAGCGGCTCGTGAGGAGATCGTCGCTTCAGAGTGAGCTGTGGTCACAGACCACAGCAGACGAGTTCTGCAGCAGATGAGCTCTGATGGAGTAAGCGGCGAGGCACCCACTATATGAGTCCGATGATGAACGCTTCTCTCTCTCCGAGAGGGCGAAGCAGAGTTTCCGGAGAACGTGTACCCACGTTATCATTCGATTCTTTTTCTGCATAGATCTCAAGTTCGATGAGGGAACATCCCGTTTGAGAAAGACAGAGCGAAGTTCTCGCCAGAGAGATCACATGACATGGCGGACCTCACCTCCCAAGGTATTCGCGCGAAGGAGTTCGATCCAATGAAAAATATATTTGTGATGATCTTGAGAGATAATTCTCGAGAACACTCAAAGAAGCCTCGCCGTTCTAGCCTCAGTCAGATCACCGTGAGCTTCGCAATCAGCTATACTGCAGAGAAAGTCCATGAGTCCGGCGCGGCGACTTCTCACAGACAGATGGCTCCCATGGCGGGCTCGTCGAGATAGAGATCATGGTAGCTATGATCCGAGGATTCTCTGAATGGGGGGTAAACGCTATGAATTTCCGGTAGAGCAGGACTGATCTTCGAGGAACAATTCGTGATCCTGGGTTTCGGTGTGTCTTGTCCCTCGTCGAACTTCTAGAAGACCCGAAGCCCAGGAATAAATCAGCGGAATCCTATCCGAAGGCGACTTTCGATATGGGTAGTCCATACGTACGTCGTGTGCGCGGCATCGAGGTCTGTATCGGCGGTGATACCGAGCCCAGGGGCTAGTCCTCGCGTACAGACATTTTCGGGACGTTTATAAAGTAGTCGAGCTTTTAATTTATTGCTGTCAACAGGGTCGGTCGGAGATTCCTCCGTGTACTTCTTCAATAATAATGACGGCTAGCGCAACAAAGAAAAAAGTTGTACTCCCGGCTCCCTAAGGCTGTTCAGACCCTCATAGTTCAGAACGCCCGTCCCGCTCCCCTTATGGCATCGACGCGCTCCCGGGCGTACGCAGTCATGAGGCATTGACTCGACCCACGTTTATTTTCGATGGGGAGGATGGAGATTCGAGCGATTCAGGCTGCCGGGAGATAAGATATTCGCGGATGCTGAGCTGTATCACTCCAGACGTACCCCAGGCAAAACTGCATGAATTCAAGCGGCTTGGACTTCAATTCCGAGTGAAATAATTTCTCCGCCTATTTATTACGACAAGTACATTGACTCTCCATATCTGCTCTCAATTTGACAGTATTAGACTAATCACCTCGATACATTTCTATGTATAGAACTTTCACTTAGACTCGGCTGGTTTTGAGTTGTATTACCTCCTCGAAAACTGGCTGTGAATGTTCGTCGGACACCATGCAGTGGCAATATTTTTCTTCTGCTTCTGGAGATTCCACGGTCATATATTACTCTGAAATGAGGTCTCTAATTCCATACCACGATTTTGTTCGCTTTCATCTCTTGAACTCAAAACAGCTCCCGTCTCATCGGGAAATGTCCGAGAACAGTTCGGCGTCGAAGGTTTCACGAGAACAAGCCGACGACAAGCTCATTCGTCACCGACGGAAAATTTCATAAATCTTACTCTCTCACAACAGGTACAGACTCATTCTCATCCGCTCCCTACCAATCTCGATTTGAGTTATGAAGTGCCTATTGCACAGTTGGTGCCGCGGCGCTGATCGAGTAACGCTCCTAAATATTCCGCTTCTAGCTCATAGAGTTGTCTTTGTTCTTTGTTGATGAATATACATACATGTGAAGGGGCTTGGGGTGTGGTGTTTTGTTTTGTACAAATATTTGGTGAGGTGAAGGGAAAATGAACACATTCTTATGGACATCTCCTGTACCGGGTTACAAAACGGGACCGTCCGTCAAACTCCGATGGAAGCCGAGGTAGACAAAGGTGTGCCTGATTCCTGGATGTTTACGTGGTGCTTCGGTGCATTTTCGGTTTTCGTTCACTTGGAGTCCTGCTCAGACTTTTGTCGGCGGGCTGTTGATGGCTGTTCGAATGGCTTCCCGCGATCGTATGACGACGTTCCAGACGAGATTTCTTGCGTTGACTGCCCTCACGGCTACGTTCTTCAGATTGGACAATCGCTGCAAATCAAACGCGTTGTGGGTGCTTGTCGCATCGGATGCAAATATATAATATGCAGGACTCATCGACCGCAAGTGTTTTGGGGACAGGACTCACATTTGAGTATCTTTGAAGAGTTCGGACTGTATACAACCCCGTAGCGGTTTCCTCGATGTAGATTCTTGCCGCTCCGGGTGCGTAGCATGACCTTCTCCTCCTCCTTCTGTTCTACATTGCGAGGAGGAACTGCACTACGCAATGAATCTCGTTCGTCTACCCCACTTGCTGGAGCCGCGTTCAGCGGTGACAAGCAGCTCTCGACATTCTGACTAGACTGGTTTTCTTTGTCTATGTTATCTGCGAAATGGTGGAATTGAGAATTAATGTCATTCAGAGAACGTCGTCCAGAGAAAACAGAGCTACTGACAAATGTTCAACAAATCACCCGAATGAGTTCTCACCATCATCACTGTTATCTCTGGTTAGCAGAGTTGCCTGGCGCTTGACTTCTTGCCAACGCCGCTCGGTCTGTTCACGACTCATTTTCTGATCACGACTCCGGAAAGCTTTCTTCTCTAGAACCGCGCGTGTTTCCTCTTCGAACACTTTGGCTTTCTCCTTCGCCAGAACCCGTCGCTCGTGATACGACATCGACATGGGGTCGTCCACGCTGCTCGTTAAGGAAGAGAACGAGTCATCTGGAAGAGAAGCTCCGTCAGAGCCTTCCTTCTCTGCACCGGTAACTCGACGAGCTCTCGAATTTCGTCCTGGAGATCGCTTCCCATGCCTCTCGATTCGGAATGGGGTAGGGGGATCCATAATCTCCTCGACCAGGCCACTTGAACAAACCTGGAAACGCTGATGAGGTTTTGCTCGGGGACGGTGGGAAACTGCAACTCAGCCCGGTCTCCTCCAACACAGGGCATTTCCCGCATTCGAAGGACATGATTTTCTGCTTGACAGATAGAATCGGAGTCGGCGTCCCGGGCAGAAGCGATAATTTCGACGATAAGGCGCGGGAAAAAGGGCCCAATTTGTCCCCCTTCGAAACCAGGGATTCGGACGACGACGATGACGGCAAGGGATCCAGATCGATGAGCGAGGCCAGCACCGAGGACGGTTCCCCACAGCGAGGACTAGAAAATGGAAGGATTTCCTTGAATGGGCGAGTCTCGGATCGTCCGCGGATATATCCGAATAAAAATAAACCTACTCACCTGTAAAACAGGTAGTCGGCGTAGTTAATCAGCGTTTCGGTGATATGACACTGGTGCTGCATATCCGAAATCATGGACAACATCGAGCACTGACCACCGGAGATCGAATCGCGGACCAGCGTAGGTCCCAACACAATGCTCAAGTTCCGAGAATCCATTTTATTGGTTTCGGAACGAGCCGCCACCCGTTGGAGATGCATACAGAAGTACCTCAGTGTCTCAAAATGACTCGGTGGCAGCTTCTGAATTAAAGCTTGAATCCCGCCGAGGCGGTTGCGGCAATCAGGTATCTTGTCAATGGCGATGAAATGGTTGTACAGAGTAGAAGTCAACAGCGGTTCGGGCAGGAGCCGGAAGAACGACTTGAGTAGAGATGTCACAACGTTTACGTCGGCCCACTTCGAGTCGTTGAGGTTCATGTTCTTGCCGTTCGCCAAATTCACCACTTGCGTTAGATGTTGCACCGCGGCTGAGTTTCCAGGCACTCTATAAATCCCCGTCACGTCCAGACCTTTGCTTTCGATGATTTTGCAGCAATGGACGACGATCCAGGGCACCGCCGAATCCTCTGTTGACATCCGGCAATTTGCCAAGGGAACACCGATCGAGAGACCTTTCTCCTTAGATCCGGGAGCTCTACTCAGCACCAGACTTGGCTCGTCGCCGACCGATGCTCGCCGAGATTTCGACCTCTGGACCGATGCTCCCGAACTGATTGATTTGTATCCCGGATGATTCCGATGATTTTTGAAGAATCTGCGATCGAACGCAGCAGCCCTTTCTATCACAGATGGCGCGATTTTCACCGATTCGGAACAACCCGCATTTATCACACCTGCAACGGATCAGAATTTTCGAATGAAGCTCCAAATACAAAGAAGATGCCCCCCATAAGGATCGATTCTTCAATAACAGCGAATGCGCCCCGCAGCTGGCGGAGCTATGGGAATTTCTCAGAGACTTACTGCATATGTTATGCATAGTGACCGGAGTATCACATTGGATTAAAAACTCGAAGTCGGTATAAGAGTCCTTCTCGGGACACAAGGCGCAGTCGCGCACCACAGACGCAAGAGAAGCCGAAGCAGAGCTTAGCCGGAGGACGTTTTTCCGTCTTTTAACATAGTCTAGAGTCGCGAAGTCCACGCTGAGATTCGATCCGGCCTGGTCGGCTAACAGTCTGTTCAGAATCACATTAATGGAATCCTGCAAAGAATAAATCACTCTCTTGACGATTGTCATTCCGGATACTTGTCATAGTTTCTATATCAAAACCGGATACTCCAGGATCTTCCGAAATCTTCGGTTTCAGAGAATGTTCTAATTTCCCAATCTTCCCAAGAACTGCAAAATAGTAGGAACTCACTTTGTCTGTGACAATCTTGAGCATCAGTCGACCCTCGACCGTTTCGGTCAAAACTTCGGCCGGTCTCCAACTGTGATCAAGTTTCTTGCCACCTTCTGGACATCGGAGCACCTTGACTGCACAGCCTCCGCCGACCGATTTTTCTGTGAAGAGAGTCTTGAGTTTCTTCAGAGTTGCACCAGGCGGAGGCGAAGTGGTTCCTTTCCTATCGGCAGCGATTCCGACGCCGACTTTCTCGAACTGAGCCGTGCGTACTTGCACCGTGTTTGGCGGCGGTGAGGCCATCCGCGTAAGTTCGCTGCGGTAAAGCTTGAGCTTCTCCATCGATCTCGCCAGAAACCCTTGGCCGCCCTCGAATAGCTGAAGTTTCGCGGCTACGGAAGTTGTACCGGCGGGTGACGGGGGGCCAAGCGAGCTGAGCGACGAAGATCGACTCTCCTCGTCTTTTTGCCCAGAGATCCGTTTGGAGTCTTTTTTGGTGTGCTTGCTTTTGTTCTTGTCACGCCGCTTCTTACGTTGTGGCTTAAGCGTTGAATCCAGCCGGGAAGGTACGGAGCACGAAGGCGGTATCGGTATACTGGGCATACTCAATGACATCTCACTCTCTGCCCCAGAGACACTGCCTCCGGTCGTGCTCTCCGTGAGGGATACTGCAACGGAGAACAATCATGAGCGGGGAACGAAATCTAACAGAGTCGAACAGTCTCCGAGGTCTATCCGAAGATATTTTTCAGAGCAGGCCGTGCGTCAGTTCATGGTGAAGATTGATTATAATAATCAATCGAACGAGACCATCGTCGAAAACTGGGCCGAACTGGGGAGGATTCGTCTCGCAACTCACCGGTACTTTGGTTGATGGGTGAGCTGTGGATGCGGCCGTGATTTGGCAAAGACCTCGGCTGAGTGGAATTTCCTCTCTGGTAGGTACTGAGGTAAGGCCGGGGCGCAAGGGAGCTGCTTAGCCAGTGGGAACGTTGGTTCGGACGTGGACCTCCCACGCCAGTCGCGTTCACCGACCGAGACAGACCCGATCCGAGCCCCGAGGCCCAAAGGCCACAACTAAGAGGATCGTCTGCCCCTGAAATCACCGTCACCTCAAGGATAGTCGAACTGGAAAGAGCAATGCAACGAAACGTTGTTTTAGTCCGATGATCCGAGAAGCTCACTCCGGTGCTTGCAAGCTCCCGGACGAGATGATTGTGAGCATTGTAACAAATCTGAGCATTCTAGCCTGCTCGGGAAGATCAGAGCCCCAGGAATTGTTCTTAGCTTGACTTTCGCTCAACCGATCGAACTCACCATAGGTGGATTCGCGCGACGAATTTTGAATAGCTGTCGATCGGACGTCCCTCGTGGGCTACAATACGGTCACCGGGACGGAGCCCCGCGCTTTGAGCGGCACCCGACTCACGCACTTCCCGAACCAAAACGGCGTCCAGAGGTTTCCCTTCTATCCATGAGGGTTCTGCACATAGTTGAAGAGCATGATGGATTTAGAGTGATGAATTTTCGATGATCGCTCAATGCCAAAGGGGCAGGAAGACTATCGACAAGGTGGAGCATGTCCGAAGAGCATAATTCAGAATAGGCTTAGATAGGAAGACGTTCCAATGTCCAACACTCGCACTCACCAACATCTCTCGGCCGTTTGCCCAGCGCATTAGCGATCTGAAATACCGGAATGAATGATTTTAGCGATTGTCCCCCGAATGCACATCGATATGCACTCCTGTAGAGATATCCCCGCCCCAGCTTTTATTCAGTGCCTCTGATCGGCATGAAGATACAAGTGCACCCCGAGCCCGGATTTCGGACGCTTACCTTGTGGATGTCGGATGGGTAAATGACGACGTTCCTCAATGTGAAGCCGAAACCTTCAGCTCGCTTCTCAATTTTGACGCAGCGACTCCGTTTCCACCGAAGCTCCCCGCCTCCAACCTCATCCTCGTCGTCGTCCTCTTCAGGAGTCGCTTCGTCAGCTCCTCCGGGCGCTCCACTGTCCGTGACCTCGCTGACACTGCCTTCGGAACTTCGTGTATCATTCTGGAAGGAAATGAATCCTGCTCAGAAGATTTGTAAGCAGAAATTCCTGAGTCTCAGATGGAAAACAAGGAGCCATTCGTGGAGATTCGCCCCAAGAGGGTCCCACCGAACTTCGGAAACCGGCGGCAGACATCCGGAATGTCGAAGCGTTCATTTACTCTGATCGAGAATATGATCTCGTTGCTCGACTCGCCAGACTTCAGGAGTGGCCGCGTGCTAGCCACATGGTTCGACATTTGATAAGGTTTTCGAGCGATCGAACCCAGGAGATGAGTCTGAGGATGTCCAGAACATTCCACAAATGTCATCCGAGAGCTATAGAGAATTAGGAGCGAGACTTCCGGTCCGTCATTCCGCTTTTCTAGAATCCGTCCGTTTTGGGTGTATCTGCTCCATTGTTCGATAGGGGTCAGATTACAGAGTGCTCCCAGCTCACACATTCGACCCTGTCTGATCGGGGAACGTTTTCGAGATAGCAATCCGTGCCAGGCGACGTATTTTCTCGTGGACGTGGAGTAGGTTTCTCGGATCCTATAGAAATCGCAGAACGTCTAGCAAAATCCTTGATACTGAGATAGACTCAGTCAGAATGATTAGTGCCGGAGGAGAGAGGCATCATTCGCCTCGCTCGGGTCCACTTGCGCAATGAAACGAGGATCGTCGAAGGAATGGTTTTCTCAGACGGGTGCCACAAAACCTCGGTCTGCCGCTAAGTCACTTCCCGAACGCTGTTTGATATGGTCCTACTCGAATCTCTTGAAAGTCGCTCCGATGGATCGTTGTCTGGTGGACGATTCACGCGACTCCTGTCCCCTGTAGCGATGCTCGGGGGGGTCGGCGTGAATCTTTCAGTTCTGGCCCTCCGCCCCCGGCGATTCCCGAGGCGAACACGACAGAAATATTGAGGAGCGCGGGGAAGCACCAGTTATAACGCTCTTGAAGCCCATGAATCGTATGCAATCAGAGACCGATTCGGAATTCTCGAGAAACGATGAAGGTACGATCGGCTGGGATTCGACGAAGGCCCGCCACCACAAAGCGTCTATTCTAGACTCGCTCGCTCGCTCTTTGAAAGATCTTTTCGGAAGAGGTCTCGATATTCTCGGAACTCCGATATGCCGCGCTGTCCCGATTCTGTCATTGTCGAGCCGAGAATATCGTGAGCGGAACAGATGAACTTGGCCGACGCGGGCTTGAGCATTTGCAATAAGACCTAGTGCGGTCGAGGAGAGCGACCCTGGTGAAGCGATATTAGCCGCGGAGTGCTCCATGGTCAAGTATCCGGGAAGAATTCATGAACCTCGATCAGGATGCAGCAAGGATGACCCCCATTCTCGAAGGAGATTCGGAAGCCAAGGAATTCATGATCGAGATCCGCTCGAGATAAACGATCGCCGGGGATCGGCACTCAACGTAGTCGCGTGACATGTCACCATGAAAGATCCTCTACAGCACGTAGACCACAAGAGCTGAGCAGACTCTGTTTCTTATTAATAGCCTCACAATCGGCGAGACCGAGTAACATGCAGCGAGTCGAGCGCACACGAGCGAACTCAAATTAATGAGCTGCGGATGACATGTCGCATACCTTTCCAAATGCGAACAAACACAAATACGCGACCAGACAGACCAAGCAGCAGTATCGTCTCGGTCGGCTTGCTTGCAGTCAGCAAGTCCGTGCGTCCATCCGTCAGTAGAAGACAGGAGGAGGAGGAGTTCGTTCAAGAACGTAAACAATTCTCTTTAGAGATGCTCACGAGCTGGTCTTCGTAACCCGGCAGGAGATTCGATGAAGCCAAAGACGATCGACCGACCGAGCAGCTAAGTGCACTGCACACCGGACACCAACAGCTCGCGTTTCCGTCTCCGCTAACAAGGAAGAAACCACTTAAGGAGATCCATCTCGAAATTCCACCGCCACCCAAATCGACACCAGTAGCTGCAACTGAACCCTGCGGCTTTCTGAGCTTATGTAAGAAGCGTTAGATGTCAGAGTGGTGGGCGTCCGGCTGACCAAGCGACCGGTCCGCCGACCGGCCCAGAATCTGAGTTGAGACAACACATTCTCGACCGTCTCTTCACCACGAAATCTACCTCTGCGACAAGCAGAGCCAGCTTGCCCGCGTTTGTGACTGTAATCAGGCGTTCTTTCTTATTTCCTCTCAGCAATGCAAAGCTGCTGGAATCCACAAACTTCCAAGCAGTTTATGAGTAAACTTACTCTCTGAACTCCTGAGTCAATGAGAGGGAAAGCCCTTCCCATTGGGTATGTCCCAATCGGGGAGGGGTCCCAAAGCTCTACGGGGCTAGGACGGAAATAGTCAGAGCAGATCACGGGCCCGAAAAGTCTCGTGACTTGGGCAATGAGTTCCCAATATGGACTGAAGAAACATTAAAAAGAGCTTCTTCCGGCGCGAGGATGATCCTCAACGAGTCTCTGCTCACTTTCAAATTCATTGGTCGACCTCTGCCTTCTAGAGGGCAGCGAGCGAATCAAGAGTGATAGAGAGGAGAATCGAATGAGTTCTTGACGACTTCTGCACTTCGAAATACGGGGAATGTCTCCGATAGAGAAGTTGGGAGAGATGGATCGACGGGGGATAACGAGACGGTCGAAGGGAAGCTCTCGGCTGAAACGCTTCAAGGTGGAGCGGTGGTTAACCCATACCGTAACAATCATTACCATTACCCGCCGCGTCTGACTAGGAAGCTTCCAGACGGGAGGGGAGCTACATAGTTGGAATATATTCCCGCGTCATAGAGGAATTCAGGCGCGGTCGTGAGTAAAGTGAAGATAATGATGACCGAAAGATAGTTATTTTCTGGGAGCGATCGACCCGCGACGTGCGCAGTGTTCTCCTACCGTCGGATAATAATCTCTGCACAGCCGAATTTTTGCGCGTCTCGGTCTCGCATTGAATTTCTTGATAAATTATGAGTTTCGTGTCTAGGACGCAAGACGCACGCGGTAGCGTCGAATCCATCGACATTCCCCTAAGCGACTCGTCAAACTCGAAATGCCGTCCCTCTCGTCAGTTCCTCCTTCAATGAATGGATAGGTTCTTCCTGAAGTTGCCGCAGCAGTGAGAATGACGAGCGTCCGTCGATCGCCTCGATCCAGCTTTCTGTACGGAACAGATAAAATGGAGCTATGACAAGAGCGCTCGCCGGACGCTTTGCATGACACGCTCATCGAATATTCTGCCAACGCATCCGAGCGCTCGAAGCATGTCATTCATGATCGATGTCGAACCGTTCTTTCTCTTTCGATTACTCTGCTGTAAGAACGACGATTTTTTCCTCATAAAACTCAATAGATCTCTATTAGCCACCGGTACTCAAACACGTTAATGGCCGCCGTTCGCAGCTCAACTGACGGTTTAGTTTCTCGAATCACCGACTGTAAGTGAGTGGGAATGGGCATTCTTCCGGCTTTGGTTGACATCTCGAGAAATACTGTATCAATGAAAACCAACTCCCGAGAGGGACCGCCGCTGCTAGCCGTCGCGGAGTTTTTTCGCGAATTTCTTCGACGAATTCATTAGCCGGCATCTTCACTCCATCGACAGATACCACGCGTTTGTCGCTAATCAGCTAGAGATATCATCGGATCCTTTGCATGGGAGATGCCGTCGTCGTGAGTCCCTCATAGACCCGCGACAGTCTAGCTCTCTTGGAATATCAGCGTTCAACGAGCGGATCGATTTCTTCTTTTCCGTTCGATCTCCCTCTCCTAACCGGATTCCTCCGGGATCGGGAGTGACGAGAAACAGTGGAAACTTCCGACCATTCGCGGAACTTGTGCGCAATCCCTAAGAAAAGGGCCGCCCGGAAAAGAATATTCAACCAGGTTTGGTCGTCCAGCTCGGGCGCGCTCAATAACCAACAAACTCGACGCGAAACGAGTCGGTTGGCTACTGGCTACGCGACCCTTCAGACAACGACGTCGACGAGGCCGCAAAGGACGAAGCTCATCTTCGTCCTACTCGAACACGCCCAAACAAACGTGGGATCCCATAGCTACTGTGGAAGTTGCTACTACAGAAAATCTGCCAAAAGCCATTACCGTGGCACGGGAGCGCGCACAACGATCGCTGACGAGCTCTTTATAGCGCTCAAAATTCAGTCACATCGCTCCCAAAGGCCAGAAATGTCGTCCGAGCGCTGAGGACGCCGAATAACTTAGGAATGAAATGCGGAGCGCCTTCCGTGCGCCACGGGTCGATATTTGGAGGGATGTGGAGGGAGCGAGGCCGAACCGATGAACGATTCCAGAAAGTTTAGTTTCTGAGGCAAGTTTGGGATCATGACATCATTACATGCCCAGTGGGATCCAGAATCTCCGGGAGAGACCAGGATCCATTCCCCTTCTAATTGGGAACCGCTATTACTTCGGCAATGGGGAATCTTTCATTGAGAGAAAGAAATTCACCAGAAGCCAAGAAGCCTTGTAATCAGATTCGGCTCCGTCTCACATTTTCAGTCTCAGGATCGGACTTGCTAGCCCGCATTCTGGGACGATCCGGCACAGAATCACGCAGTCTGCTTCAGTATTCCGGAATACCGTAGAGCCGCGGACTCAATGGATTGTTTAATGTGCGCGCATGTAGCGAAAGACAAAGGTGACACGACCGCCCCGTCGGTTTCACGTCGGGAACTGGATCACAGAATCCCGATGTGCCGTTAGGAGCTGCTACGTGAACCGTATCGAAGTCTCTGGCTTGCCTCCGCCAGCCAGCCTGCCTGCCTGCCTGTCTGTCCGCTCGTCTGTAATCCAGCGTAGCGTCAGGAGCATCCGCTTGGCTCCCGGTAGCGAATTTCTCGGTCAGTCATCGATTCATTCCAGCGACATCTGAAACGCTGCCGATCCATCTATCCGTCCGTCTTCCAGTTCGTGAGAGCATGGGCTAGATCGACGCTCCGCCTAATTATTGATACTCAGTCAGTCAGCGCGAATGAGAGGCCGTAACGTAAGAATACCGATCGAATGGAAACAGGCGTTTGAGCCGCGAATTACAAAGTCCGCCGAAGAGCATCCCTTCATGCCCGCACCCGCTCGCATGACTGATCTTGTCGATGAGTGTGCGACGAAAGTCTCACAACACACTGACGAGTCTGGTTGAAGTTGGACGAGTGTGAGAAAAAATATTTCGGTCTCGTTGACAACTCACGGTTTGGCCGAGGGCTGCCGGGGCGCTCTGCGTTATCGTATCCGACGTAGAACTCTCTGAGTTAGCATCTGGTGTTCCGTTTTCGGTCGCTGTTGCCATCTCAGCTCCTCTGGCGCCACTGACATCGTCCAGACCGTCCCCTATTCGATGGTCGAGGGGCTCGAGCGAGCCCCGACTGGAGTCGAGCGACATTTTCTCAGCTACACAAGGAGAACGGTGGTTCTCCTCCATCCTTGAAGTCTACTGCTCTGTGCTCAGCCGCATCTCAGAGCTTCTGGTCCGCTGCCTGCAAAGGGAAAGTGATTCATATAATAGGTTATTTCTTTTGGAGTATCCCCTGGCTCGTCCGGGGCGAATCGAAGAATTCGCGGGCGGAGATCCAGGCTTCGACGGTATGCTCCATCGGTATGCTCCATCCTACGTGCCGCGAGACAGAGGAGACCGCTCATCGGATTTTCTGCATTTCCAGGCTGTCTGAGCTCTAAGAAGATCTTCTCTCAAGCTATCGGCTGCTCGTGCCCACCAACCATGTTCATGCTCGATGACAGACGCCGTTTCGGAGAACGGAGCTGAAACTCTGAGCGTTGAGAATTCGACAGAGTTCAGGCCGGTTATTATTTTCGAAATTCGGGGATTCTCCCAGAGGAGCTCAGGGGCTCGTTCCCAAGAAACGGTTCGAGTCCGAACTGAAGGATCAGGTATCCTGATAGATGGGAAACTAAAAATCTTCCGAAGCGATGTCCCTTCCGTGTATCAGTCATTGATCGCTTAGCGAAGCCCAGCGTCAAAATCGGAGACTTCGGGCGAATTGTTTTAGTTTGGCTCTTCTTCTTCATTTGTATCTCGTTGACCGTGTTTTCATCAACAGGCCAAGGACAATAGACTACGGAACGACAATGGAGAAACAGAAGCCCACAGACAGCTCTTTGTGTCTGTCACATGAACCTGACTCGCGGAGAGCTCTTTCTGATTCTGCAGAAGAAAACTCGTATCTTGCACGTATTATATCCGTCGAGTGCACGGGATCTCGAAACTCCCGTTTCTTGAGTTTCTCGGGGCGGTAGTCTCTCAGAGCAAGCCGGAGGTGCGCATCTCCTCGCAGAATAACAGAAAGCAACTTCGGAGCGGTTGGAAAAAAGCGCAACATCGAACACTGTTCACGCAACGGAGCAGCTCGATCGTTCGACAGATGTTAACAGATTCTCTGGTATGTCGCAACGGGTGCAAGTGCTCGCCAGCTGCTGCGACAGGTTCTGGATGCTAAACCGACAGTATCAAAGTTGACGTCCAGCCAGCGAAGCAGTTGCGCTTCTGGAACGCCCGGAAACGGCGAAATACGATCTGTTCCAATATTAGCGCCAAACCCACCTTCTCCGAGCGGGAGTCTCGGGCTGGTCATTTTCCAGGAGCAACACAGTTTCCAGCACTCAGCACCAAACTTTTCAGCGACCCAATGGAGCACTTGCAAGCGTCAACAGATCACTCACGGGGCCGACATGACGGCGCAACTCGACGTCTTTAGAATTCGGATGAGATCCGCTCTTCTCTACCGGGACGTACACTGAAAGGTTCCACCACCAGCAGCAGCAGGAGGAGAGATGTTGTCGCCAAGCCCACAAGATGAACGCATCTCTAACCTATAAAGCTCTATCGGGCGTTCCGGTCGCTGGAAAGAAAATCCGATTCCGACTTCTGATGAGCGACAGTATAATCTCCTCCAAGGGCCGAGGTCATCCCGGACACCCTCGGAAGTCTCTTTCTTATTGTCGGGCTCAAATCGAGGGCCTTTGAAATGTTCCCGCTGCCATTCGATATCATTTTCGCAGAGAACCCAGAACGGCCCATCTAGGGGCTTGTGTCCCGTGTTTACAAATTGCGCGGCTCGGGGAAAGTTGCCTGGAAGCTGGGATTCAAACTTGGTTTTGGAACCGGGCTCCGAGACCTCGAGCATTAAATATGTTCAGTGTCGAAACATAGGCGCGCGTTGAGGATTCTCTGAGCCGTGACATATGACCGCGCATTGAGACTGGAAAAGTGCATCCGTCGCGCTCGATTAGTGAGCCGTCAACAGTGATTGACCGCGTAAAAATACCTGTTTTGGTCTCGACGCTAATAGAAAATCGATACGAAGAATATCATTCTCTTATCGGCTGGCCCCTGATCAGGAGTGAGCAGAATGGCGGGACTCGAGGAAGTGGATATCCCAGGTCGAGAGTATCTGAAAGAGACGCTCACGAACTGTGCCGATCCCCTTAAAGCGATCGCTCAGTTTCAAGAGGAAAATGGTAGGTTTGATCAATCGTCCTGCTGCATATCTGTCTAGAACAGCGGTCGGCAACCTTTCTCAGTCTGCGGACCCCCGGAGCACCGATTCTCTCTGCGCGGACCCCCTGAGTTTATTTAGGGAGGGAGTCCGCGGACCCCCAGCTGATTTTGCGGACCCCTGGGGGTCCGGGGACCCCCCTTAGCCGACTCCTGGTCTAGAAGGTCTAGAACAGGCGTGTCAAAGACGTGGCCCGCGGGCCACTAGTGGCCCACAAAGTGTTTTTTCGTGGCCCGCGGCCGATCCTTAGGAATCCATGGGATATATCCTTGTAATTTTCGAATGGCGAATAGAACGAGTCGACTCTGAAAAATC